GGTATTACATTTCCCTCTTCATCTGAAGAAAACTATCTTATCAGCATCATTTATTTTTTTTAAATTTGTATACCGTCTTTCTATCTTACAATACTCAAGGCGGCTTACCAGCTGAAGAAACAAAAAATGTACATCTTATAACAATCTAATGCAATACAAAAATTTATAATAAAACATAACTTTAAAATAGGCAACCTACATCAAAAAAGTAACATTCAACAATCGTTAGAATAGTATTAAATAATAATAATAATAACATATAAAAGTTAAACAGAAATCCACTCAACAGTTACAATAAATAATTTCTAAACTATAATCAATAAAACAATGGCAAGCCACAGTACATAAAATAATACAATACAATACAGATCTTGGGAACTGTAAAAAGGAAAAGGAAACTAGGACATTTATTTATTTTTTAAATCAAAGAAACCTACCTTCCCACCCACCCCTGTGAATATTATTAGTTCACAATCTTCATTAAGTGGCCATACTATTTTGGTTTGGCTGGAGTGTTATATAAACACCATAACCCCAGCCATAACCTTAGGTTTGCGGGACAGCTTCTTAAGTCAAACCTCCTAAATTTAATACTGAGCAAATAGCCATCAAGAAACAACACCCTTCTATGTTAGTATAGACCATGCACAAGACATTGGCTGGATTACTTGGAGGTGTGGTGATGGTAAATGATGACGATGATGAGTGAGGAAGAGGAGAGGGCATTCTTTCATAAGCAGCTTGGCATGTCACAATGACCTGCAGTTTGGTGGAGAGAAATCCAAAGCCCCAATGGGCACACCTTTCTACTCAGTCAGAGGAGTTATCTGGACTATCTATTTACATGCAATAATAATTTTCTCATTTATCAGCCCAACACATAAAAAACATATGACCTGATGAGGATCTGAGCCAAGCTATTGAATTAAATAAAAAATCTTCAAGGTGCATGTGACCAAGGAGAGGAAATCTGGATATTTTCCCAAGCACTGGACCACATTGCATTAGCTATGGGTGCTTTCTCCCAGTCCCAGTGCCATGATGGAGAAAGGCAAGTTCTAGTTTGTAAAATAGGTGTGGTTCCCCCCCCCTTCCTTCCTTCCATAAGAAACAAAATATTATTCCCTAAATCAACACAGAGTAGCCCTTCTCAAGAAACGCTTGCTTTCCAAAAATCCAGTAACAATGGAAACATAGTACAAAGCAACAACCAAAAATGCACACCTTTTTATCCCATTTAAAAATCACAAGAAGCAACTTTTACTCCTTGCTTCCAAGTTATATGCTTCTTTGCAGCTTCTTGTACCTATCAAGAACCCTATTAATTACTGGAAGCAAAGCTGCACTCATGTAACCTTAATTCCCCTCTGTTCCTTATAATTAGCAAGTAGTGCGTACCTTATTGCTGTGACAGAGGTGAGGTTAGAGAGGAGGATTTCTACTTTTTCTTTTCTTTTTCTTTTTAGTGCAGCGGTGGATACATATAGGCCTCCCTATTTTTGTTCCCCTCCTGCCAAAAAGGAGGGTATACGCATGCTTTAAATCACATGGATGGGGATTGCTGGCATGGAAAGCAGGGATGCGTTCCTGAGCGATTTTAACTGAATATGTAGAGCTTATAGCCGTATCCTAACCATATTTAAAGTAAATTATCCTGGCTCAATAAGACCTACTTACAAGTAAATATGCATTTGGATTCTGGTTTCGGCTTCGAGAAAGTTACCGGAAGAAAGCCAATAGGCTAAACACAGATTTCTATAGATTTTTAGCTAAAGAAAAATGAAAAGGAACCACAAGTCTGCAGTACACCCATTAACCCTTTTTAAAGCATTATATTTGGGAAGGAACTTATGTGCAACTGTTCAATAGGTTATGGGATTTGACCTACACATATAGTGTTTGTGTGGCAGGAATGTTAGTGATAAATATATTTGTCTTGTCATGAAAGACAAAGAGAACATTACATATAACTAACACACACACACACACTTCTCCCTGGAAATGTAGCACTTTGGATTCTTCATCATAGAATCTCTGTCAATAAAAAAAGCAAATTAATTCCTCTCCATGGGGCAGTTAAAATAAAGAGTTGCTGGGCACTGCTAATTAAGATGTTATGTGCTTAGAAAACCAAAGCTGATCTGTTACTAGGTGATAGTTATTTTTCAGTCACTCTCTCTTTAAGCAGTACACCTCGTTCCAAATGTAGGTTTACATTATGCTAAATATAGATGTGAGTGCTTTAAAGCTTTGGAATGTAAAAGGTAGCAGTGGGAAGGAGTCAAACATCACTGCTGTTTCTTCTTCTTTTCTTCTTCTGCTTGTTGTCTGGATCCAGTGCTACGTAAGATTGCAGCCTATTCCCCCCCTCCCCATATTAAAGTAATGCACAGCTAAATTAATCTTAACTCTTGCATCACCAAAGGTACTGCCCAAAGCTCACTTTATGGATTAGCTGAATACATCTGAGCAGTGCTTTCTAAGCATGAACCAGACTCAGCGTTTCATACACAATGTCAGCTTTTCTTTTCTTTTTTTAAGGAAAATGCTAAAATGGCAAATGTCAAGAACCAGCAACAGTGTGTTTAATAAGTGAGTCAGAACTCTAAGTCCTCAGCTGTAGCTGAGACAATAGTGCTATTGATTGTAACTTATCCCACCCTCTCCTCTCCTCAGCCTCAAGAACATATTATTTGCCTTGATGCCACAGGATGAGCCCGTTTGATTGCAATTGTATGTCCATTCCTGGCAAATGCCCCCCCCCCATTCCTCCAGTGCTACTGGCCACAGGCAGCTGTTAGCAGCTGCTAAAAGAATCTGAATTTGCCAGAGGATCTGGATTTGTGTCCTCCTTTCAAATCCAACTTCTCAAAAAAACCCAATCCAGAGGCAAAGGGCTGAAATGTAACACACGTGTCAGGATTATTAAGCAGCAGTAGCAGGGCAAGGCAAAACCTTGGCTAATTGGGGCTGCACAGGGGAAAGAAAAACGCTGTCTCCCAGCTAAGAAGACACACAGTCAAGGGTGGTAGAGGAGGACAGAGTGTGATGAAAATATAGCAACTTTTGGAAATGGAATGAAACAGAAAGACCTCTGTTGCCGCAGTAGACTGAAAAGGGGCAAAATCCTACTATGGCATGTGAATAGCTCCAAGGGCGAGCCTTGTCTTTATAGGAGCTGGCCTTTCAGCACGATTTCTAAATATGTCAGATGTTTCTGTTCCTCTGTTCTTTATTCAAAGTGAGTAAAATGAGATCAGAGGCAGCAAAGAGCCAGGCATCACTTTGTCACCTGCCGCAGCTCCAGGGATGGGGTTGAAGGCAGGGTGGCGATGGGGCTTTAGTGCATTCATTAACACAACTTGCTCTTCTTGCTCCAAACTATGCAAGCCTTAGCACAACCCAGTATATTGGAACAGAGATGAGATGTTGCCACCTGCCTCTTCCCCTTCCCCTAACCTCTGCCTAGTGATTAAAAGTAATTCAGGGAAAGAAGAAGGAAGAAAAAGAGAGGGAGGGGATCTCAACGGGATGCTCACTTATGCAAAGTGACCCCCACTACTTTACAATGTGGCACCATGTCATAATTCAGAACACACACTCACACAGGAAGTAGACACAGGACACAAGCACTTTTAGTCACTTTGAAGTTTTTGATCTCTCTGTGTTTTCAATAATTTGCTGTAAAATCGGGACAGCAAAAAAGAAGAGGTTGATTTGGGATAAATAGCTGTTTTTAATATGTTATGCTAGAATGGATTTTTTTTTCATTTTATTTTTTTTAAAAAAAATAGCAAAAGAAATTATCTATATCCCCCTTCTACTCTTTGTAAGGACACCTGAAGAGGAAGGAGGAAGAAGGGGCTTCAGAAGCAAGACAGAAACAGGTTTTGAAGTAAGCAGGTGTTGTCACCAGAGGCAGCCACAACACACACACACCTTGCCAACATGAAAAAGGCCCGGGCTAATGAGAGGCAAAGTGAATAAAGCCGACCTTGTTGTCTCAGGGGCAACTAGGCAAGTTGTGGGGCGAGGGCCAAGGCAGAAGTTGTGTAACCCTCCGGTATCCTGCCCCACCTCGGTTTCAAGGAGAAAGAGAATACCAAGCAAGCAAATGGTGAAAGGAGATTCCTGGATGTGGGGGGAGAAGAGAGGGGCTACAGGCAAGATAAGCACCCGCACACACCACCCTTTTCTATGCCGACCATCAGGAACATCCTTGGGTCCCCTCAAAGCCTGCTTCCCTCTCCTGCCTCCCTGCAACTTGCAAGGAACAAAGTGCAGGTCTCAGCCATCCCAGGGGTGGGGTGGGCGAGGGCTGAGACCACCACACGGCCCCCTCCTTCTGGGAAAGCAGGGCAGCAGAAGGGCGGGCGAGGCGCCTAGCTCGCCTTTGCTGGCAGCGGAGCTTCCTTCCATCTCGGGGAGGAAGAGGAGAGGGTCTGAGGGTGGGGAGGCGGCAGAGGAGGCGGAGGCGGAGGCGGAGGCGGGAAGGAACTTGGCAGCCCAGGCAAGCTATCTTTAGCATCCCTCGGTTAAGTACCAGCCACCACCACCACATCACCACCCATGTGCGGACGAGGAGAGAGGGCAAGGTCCCCCCGTCCAGCCCGGGAGGCTCCCTTCCTTCGCTGGCGGCGCAGTTCCTCCCCCATAGCGAACCCCCACAAACCCAGCAAAAAAACAACAACCCCCACATAACCTCCCTTCATGAACCACCAGCGGCGGAGCTGGGAGGGAGCAGGTGCCAGGCATGCCACGGTCCGGGTGTGCGCGACGACGGCAAGGGGAACGTGGAGCCGTTGACCAGTATATAAATATATATGGGGGGGGGGATACACGCCTGAGGTAAAGCCGGGAGCTGGCACAGGCACGACACCCCCTTCCCCCCTCCTTCCAGTCGGGTCGGCTGTAGAAGAATCTCCCCCCCACACACACAAACACAAAAGAAGGAAGCCCCCCTCAAGTAACGGAAAGAAGGAGAAACCAGCAAGGCTTACCCTGAGCTGCGGCGACGAGCCCCGCGCAGAGCACCAGCAGCCCAGCCTCGAATTGCCTCCACGCAGTCATGTCTGCAGTTTATTCCACACACATAGAGAGAGAGGGAAAGGCGCGAGCGGGAGCTCGGAGGAGGCAGGCTGAGACCCGGGGTGGGGGGGTGGAGGGGGGGGTTGCAACGCCGGTTGGTTGGCTGCTTGACCGGTCGGTCGGAGCACCTCGCCGCGGCGCCTCTCAGCTGCGAGCGCGGGCTCCCTCCCTCGCCAGAAGTGCCCGCGGGGCGAAAGAATCACCAGAGGGCGAAGCCAGGCGGAGGAGAAGGAGAAGAAGGAGGTGGTGGTGTCGGCGGCGGCGGCGGCAGCAGCAGCAGCAGCGAGGGGAGCTCCAGGTGCCGCGAGTGGCAGCAGCGGCGGCGGCGCAGCATTCGACGCCTCCTGCAGGACTGCTGGTTGCCTCGGCTCGCCGCCTTCTCATAGCATCAAGTGCCGGCGAGCCACTGCGGGGCGGAGAGCGCGCGGGGAGACCAGGCTGAGGGAGAGGAGCGGCGAGAGCCTCCTCCGCCAGCGGCTCTCCCGAGTCTGAGGCGAAAACCACCAGCTGCCCCAAGACAGCGGAGACGTCGACGACGAGCGTGGAGAGGTGGCGACGGCGGCGGTGGGGAGAGGAGGAGACGCGGCCGGGCATCGAGTGAGGAGGGAAGCCAGAGGAGACGCGGGCGGCAGCGGCAAATAAAAAGAAAGGCGCGCGAGGGAGAGTGGAGAGAACCAAATGGAAATAGCGGGTTGCTCCTGACACGGCGAGGAGGAGAAGCTGAGGGACGCAGCCGAGCCGGGAGAGCGCGGCAAGCTTGACAGGCTGCTAGCAGCGCAAGAAGGAGCTGCTGCTGCTGCCGCCGCCGCCGCCGCCGCTCCTGCTGCTGCTGGACTCAACCATCCCTTCCCACAGAGAGGGGAAGGAGGCTGGAGCGGCGCAGCGGCGGCAGCAGGAGCGAGCGAGCGAGCGCACCCGCCAAAGCCCAAGGCAAAGCAGCCGCAGCAACCTTCTCGCAGCCCTCACGAAACAGGGGTGGGAAAGGCGGGAAAGCGAAGGGAGTCGTTTTCTCTCTTCTCTTCTCTCCCCCCCCTAAAAAAAACCCCCTCCGCCCCGCTGAGGGAGGTGGCGGCGGTGGCTGGGAATCTTCTTTTCCAGTCACAGGTGACGACGGGGCAATTGAGGGGGCAACTGGAGAGAGAGAAAGCGCGCGCGGCGGCTGAGGGGCGGGACGAGGAACGCGCTCGGGAATCCCGCGCCGCGCTGCGAAACGCGCTCTGGCGTCCCGTCGTCGTTCCTCTGGCTTCTCGCCTTCCCGCCAGACCTACCTCGCAGGGCGCACGTTGGGCGCCTTGAGGCGGCTGGTGAAGCGTAAAAGGCGGGAAGCCGCAGCTACAGGAGTGCAGGGAATGGTTCCCCCTGGTCGGTTAAGCGACAGCAGCAGCCCACACCCAGGCTTCGCTTGGTGTCTTTGAGGAGAAATGTCCTCCTGGGGTCGCCCAAGGGGCCGTTTGCAAGGGTCTGGATCCAATCTAAGTAAGAGTGGCCTCCTCCCTTAAAAAGAGCAAGGGACACCTGGGAGCCAGTGGCATAGCTGTCAACTTTTCCCTTTTCTTGTGAGGAATCCTATTCGGAATAAGGGAATTTCCCTTTTAAAAAGGGAAACGTTGACAGCTATGGCCAGTGGGCAACCTTGAACTTAGGTCTAACATATCTTCTTTGGCCACGGGCTTCTTCCAAGGAAGCCCAACCAACACACACAATGCTGGGTGTTTTTGTATGCGTGTCTAAACCCACCGGGATAGCTCAGTCGGGAGAGCACAAGACTCTTAATCTCAGGGTTGTGGGTTCGAGTTCCACGTCGGGCAAAAGATTCTTGCATCGCAGCGGGTCGGACTAGATGACCCTCGTGGTCCCTTCCAGCTCTATGACTCTATGAAATCCGGAATAATACTTGGCTTTGGCTCTGTGCTAAAAACCACTCGCTTGGAGATGGGTGCCTGCTCTACCCGGACCATTTTGAAAGAAGTGATCCCAAATTATGCATTTGAACATGGGTTGTGTCACCTGTGGCTGTCGTAGGACGAAGAAGACAGCCGTTTCCCAAATCCGATGGACAAGGCTCGTTAGGCCCCTGTTCAGCAAGGGCACTTAAAAACGGTTCTCCTCTTATTCCTTGGCAGCATTCACACTTCCCGCACTAAAAGGCGTGCTTGGGAATCTCTTTGGACAGCAATGCAGGCTTCACACACAGCCCGATCATCAGACCCAGGAAGTGCAAACTAGCAATCCTTGTTTCAGCATCACTTGAGCAATGCAAGACTGGGCAAGCCCCACTCCTGAATTACTTCTCTGAGCGCTAACTAAATAATTTTAAGGGACATTTAGGATGTTCTTTCAGGAGAGGTCGGATTCTTCAGTTTATCTTCAATACGGCCATTTCCCCATGGAAAGCTCGAAGTTGGCACCTCGGTGGTTCTCTGACCCCACTTCAAAGGAGTTTCGGAGTGGAGTCACTTAAAAGAGCCTCTGATGCGTTTGCTACCTTAGGTCCATTTCCAGCTCTCGGTCAGGGCAAAAATAGAGAATGGAAAATGGAAAAAAAAAACCAAAACAGCTAAGTCGCCTTGGCACCTCGTTTCTTTTTCTGTGTTCTAATACTCTCCCATTCCCAATGTCCGGCCTCATCAATTTCTGCCATTTAAAACTATTTCTAAAACCCATTTCTTTGATGTCAGTATTGAGAAGACATCTTCTAAACGTGAGCCTAAAAATGTAAAAAAAAAGTATTATTTTTTTTAAAAAAACAGCAACAACAACCTAGCCTTCGTTCTGTGGCATAAACTACATCAGAGTGGTTCCTTTTTAAGTCCACGAAATGTCAACTTTTCTGTTTTCCTACTAAAACAGATTTGTTTGCTTAAAACTCTCTGAAGCTGCAATCCTGTGTGCCCTGGGAGTAAGCTCCATTGAAGTCAGTGGGGCTTGCTTCTGAGTAAACCAAGCGATTCCTTGGTTTCTTGCCAGAAGAAGTCGAAAATTCTAAAGCCACTTAACACAGCAGAAAGAACCTTACTTCCTAATTAATGCCCGAAGCTACCTGTGTTGGTAATTAAAATACAAAGGATCACAGGACAGAAGCAAAACCAATGGCGAGGAGGAGTTTCGAGGTTGTAATTAATCACTGGTGATAAATTCTCTTTCTTGGTAAAATATGGAAAGCTGTTGCCTCGTTGTACGTTGGTTCAACGAGTGGGTACTGAACAAAATAGGCTGGCTCTGTTAATAGGCTTATATTTATATATTAATGTTGCTGCTTTTCTCGCTGGCGGGGCAAGCGGGACGGAGGCTTTGCGAACTGGAAATCTGCGAGAAACATGTGACACTGCTGCCATCTAGCGGCTTCATTTTTCTCTGTAGCGAATTCATAAATATTAAAGACACATTTCAGTCTTAGTTGAAAAAAACAACCAAAAAGGGATTATTAGCGCGTGTAAGAAAGATCTCCGCCACGCCCTCATCGTTTGCCTATCTATTTATTTCTTGACTTTATATTCTGGCCTTCCTCCCAAAAAAGCCAAGAGAGGCACAAGAGCCTATAGTCTCTACTACTATTGCAGATGCCACTCTTCCCTTACATTCCAGATTGGGAGGATGCAAACCGCGAACAGCGACTCATGCAGATGTACAACAGACAGGCGAATATGAGAGCAGATAATTTTGTTGCTTCTCTGCATCCAGAGTGATTTAATGCTTCAATCTGGTGTGGAGAGATATGGCAGCATCGCCTGAACAGGAGGGACAAAGGAAAGAACAACGAATTATGCAGAGATGGGATAGGCATCTTCATGAGTGCTGGTGGCTCATAGAACTCACAGAATCTTGAAGTTGGAAGGGACCCTGAGGATCATCTAGTCCAACCCCCTGCAATGCAGGAATATGCAGCTGTGCCTTAACGGGGATCGAACCTGCAACCTTGGGGTTATCAGCTGTACACTCAAAGCAACTGAGTTATCCAGGATGTAAAGCACACTGATATCCCTCAGTAAACCATTCAGCAATTATTGGACTAGTGCAGACCAGATGTGTTACCATTATACTTCCCATCTTTGTATGCATTGAATTCAAAAGGTCTGTGTTTTCAGAATGGAACTTTGAAGAGTTAAAATAATGAAAGCCAAGTTCCCTGATGCTTGAAACGGTCATCTTTACTGCTATTGGTTCCCTCTTCAAGACACACTAGTTTTAAACAAAAGCCAGCATATCCCATTTCATCTGTTTGTACATTGTCTTTTCATGCTAGCCTCCTTATCATCCTTCCTGTCAGTCCCTAAGCTTCCCTCAGCTGTGACCTTTTTGTTTGTTTGTTTCATATCTGTACCCTTATACAGCACCTATCACACTGCAGGCCTGCTCCAGTCAACAGAATAACAGATTATGAAGCATAGGTTATGGGTATATATATGGTTATATATGTGGACAGAAAATTTACTTGTTAGTTTACATTGGGAAATGGGAACATGGTACAGTTTAAAAGCTGGCAGATATGCTCATGCACCAAAATAACAGGGAAAGTTCATGCCAGCTTATAGTTGGGGATGGGGAAAATGAAATTCTCTTCAACAGAATGCAGCACATCACATATGCTGGCAATAGGTTTATAGATAATGGCAGAATCCTTCATCTCAACATCTGCATCCATTCCAGTTTCTGGAAAGATCATTGTGCTTAAAGAAAAAGGCTCCATCACACTGAAACACTTGAGCTGAGAGATAAACTCTTTTCTCTGTTGAAAAAAAAACCATGGGGAAAATATTTCTAATTCCAGGTAATATGAAAAACAGGACTGCAGAAACATTGCCTTGTACATTGCAATTATTGTTTTGTAATGAAGTTAGCATCATTTACCATTCCCCCCCCCTTACAGGTTGCCATGGGCTTTTTACATCTTGCAGAAATTATTTTTCTTTTCAAATTGAATTTCAGCTAGCTTTTCCTACATGACTTGTATAATGAATAGGCAGTTGTTTTCATTTTTAGTATTTAAAGTTCAGCGTTTACTCCCCTTCACTGAACCGCTTGAGAGAGGGACAAGAGTATAGGTGAAAAACCTTTGGTCATCCAGATGTTGCTGGATTACAGCTCTCATGGCTGAAGTTGATGGGAGTCAGAGACTGTTTGGAGAGACAAAAGTTGTCCATCCCTGAACTAGAGGCTACGGACTGAAAGCAGAAACTGATGCAAGAAACTACCTCCCAATAGACACATTAAGAAAGGGGCATGCCCCTGATTTTGTTCCCTTTTGGATAATCAGAATACAGAACCTTTACCTGAACAATTGGTAATGTTGAAGGAATGGTAGCAGGACTCAGACAAGCTACAACCCAAATGGGCAACTGAATCTTCTATTTCAGTTTGTGAAAAAAAGTTTAAACCAGAATTAATATTACTAGTTTCACACAAGGCTAGTTTTGAATGGTTACATTTTAATATAGCCACCAAACATGGCTCTTCTGCAGTTTATCTACAAAACTGTGAAAACTGTGACTTTTCAAATTGTACTTCCCCAAATTTTATCATTCATATTGCAAAGATTTGCTTTGACTTCTGTAATAATTAATGGGATAAAATGAATCCTTAACAAAGACATACATACAAATGTGTCAAGACTGGAATACAGAAGGAAGATCAGTGGGAGATCATAGCAGCCATTAATTCTTACAAGCTGGAAGAAAAGACTGTAGCAGGAGGTATTTGGCTCGGAGAGATTAAAACAACCGGGCCCTGAAAGGCAATGTTTTTACAAGATTGGAAGCTGTGAAACTGCAGAAGGCCAGCTAGTATATCTAGTGAATAAGTCTCCCTGCTTGATTTTAGGGTATAACTTAATAATGTTTTCTGATAGCCAATACTAATATGTAATTCTGGGTCGCTCTACTCCTGCTTTGTAATTAGACAATGTGTGAACACCTTTGTTTATTGACCTCCAAAAAATGATGGAATTCTCTCTTAGTGCTAAGCACTCTTACCTAGTTGCCATACCTGAACCCTTTGTAAAGAAGAAGTTGTGGCCAACATTCTCTCAATAACACACAACTAGCTGGAAATAAACCTGATGGGTATTTTTTTTTTAAGGCAGATGTGGTCATCTCAAAAGTGTGTCATTCGAACAGGTTTTCTGAATGTAATAAGTGTTCTACTTTTACCGACACAGTTCAAGCATTATTTTTATACGAGAGAAAATGGAAAATCTTCTATAGC